TATTTTTATGTTAGAGTATTTGTCAAGGAAGGCTAGAAGTTTTAAAACATCACGCTGTCACTAATAGCAACAAAGAACCTGCGGAAAATGTGGGAAATTTCAACAAACATGTATGAAATAAAGATTTGTCTTTAAATGATAAAAAAAAATATCCGCGACACTATATGTCTATATTGTAAGATTAACTTACAATAACACCGGGACGTGAACGACGTCGCGAGGAACAGCTTAAACGTATAGAGTTGAACAGAAGGTTTGCATTCTTTTGATGCCCATAATAACTATTCTACGCGGTCGTCGCTGACACAGCTATATTTAATAGGTAAATATAATTGGAAGCTATGATTAAAGTCCGTTAACCGCACGACGTGAGAACGAAGGGGCAATCATAGAGTAATCTCGGCGATGGTTGGGCGGGCACGTTCGAACTGCGGTTTTCTGGACAATCCGATACCAACGATTATCTGTATAACGTACGAGGTCGTATTTACTTCAGCTGAAAGTAATTGCAATTCGAGTGGTTCTATTCATGTAATTAAAGTGGTTGAAAATTCTGAACTAAAAGTAACGAAAGAAGAAATACGTGGATTTGTGGATGATGAAATATTGATCTGCCATTGCACACGTATTTTTATTTATTTCTCTAATACAGCTACGGGTTTAAACTATTGAATAAAAAGTACACTAACATGAACTAATAAAGAAAATTATACCAAATCAATTTATATTTAATTTAGAACAGAAGGAAATTTTACACTTTAACCAAAAATGAAAAAACAAGCAATAGCAAGTAGTATGGATTGAGTACAATATGCATTTTTATTACATTACTTCTCTAATTACAAATATACAGACAGACACATCATACAATTTTAGAGTTTGGGGTTATTTGTTTTTGATACGTTACGTTGATACCTTATTTTAAAAGAACAATTTATAAAAAAGCAGTGGTATAACAAAAGGTGGTAACCATTAATTTTAGTTTTTATAAAGAAGTTAATATTTTCATTGACTAGTCAAATAAACTGAAGCTTACAATAAATCCCATAGAGCTAAAAATTGGAATGAACGTTCAGATGGAATGGCCTATATTTTAAGGATTAAGTTGACTATTCAGTAATAATTATCCCAAAATAAGCAAAGCCAAAACCAAAATCTCTGCGGTTGATTATGCAAGCCATGTTTAAATACAAGCAAATTATACTCAACAAACAAGTTAATTCTGGTTACGTGAAACGATAATGTTGGTTTGAACGTGTGGGTGGATGTTTATTAACGGCCGTGTTTGCTGGTACTGCAATATCGGAATTATTAAGCAATGGAATGTGTGTGCATATTGTTTAGGCGTTCTTGTTATCGAACGATATAAAGCGTAAGTTTTGGAAACCTGGTTTAACCATTGCGCCATTTGATCGGTGCATGAAAAATACTTATGGCTTAACAGCTGTTATGTCCATTTAAATATTAAAAATTGATGACAATTGTCGAAAAATTTTTCACTCGGGCTGGACTTGAACGACTTTTCGATTTTTAAATTACAAAGTGTCACATAGTAAAGTTTAAAAAAATTCACAATACCGTCTTTGCCGGTACCTGAGTGATTTATTATTTAGGCCACCATAATATTGTGCGTTAATGGAACATTTGTCTAATGTATTGTGGTCATGGGTTGGGTCCCCATCGGGTCAAATATACCTATTAAAAAAAACCGTAACACGTCGGGCTTCGTCTAGAAAATCTTTATATTAAGAGAATGATTAGAAATCGAAATTTCGTATGTGTCATGAAACATGATGAATAAATGTTTTTATTCTTACTGAAAATATGTCCGAAATTTCTAAAATTAAGTTTTAATTAAAATGTATTTTGTCGATTAGAAATAAACGTCACATACAGCGACAATAAAAGCTTATTCAAAAGTCCAATTTGAGCTTAACCGAATTACAAATAATTTCAAGATAAATGACATTTTCACATATGTCGCGCTAAATCTAATTGACTACGCGGAAATACTGAACATAAATCAAATATTTATTACTGTTTGGCGCATTTTAGAAGTTTCCCTTACATTTAATTTTATCAATTTTTTTCCTCAAATAAAACGTTCCGTATTCTTACCATTGATAAGGGCAACAGCACAAAACAGTTGAAGGCAGAATTTCAATTTATATTAAGCTCTTATGTAAAAATGACGTAGGTACCTAATCAATACTAATATTATAAATGCGACAGTAACTCAGTCTGTCTATCTGTCCGGCTTTAACTCCGCAACTACGATTTTTAAAATTATTTAACTACGCCCCGACGTTTCGGATTCTTTGCAGCATCCGTAGTCACGGGGAGACTGAGTCTCCTATAAGTACCGTAACGTGTTTTATTTAAATGTGTACTACTTGCGTAAACTACAGACAGTATTTTAAAGAAAAAAATAACTTGTTAAATCCTAATTGTTTTATTGAGATCAATCAGAAACAACACGTCAAATAAGCATTCAAGGTTAGCTAAATCAAGCGATAAACATCAAAATAAGTTATTGAATATTCATGGTGGTGACGTCACTAGCTGTGGGCGTGGACTACCCACGATCGCTTCCCATAGCTTCAATGGTTTCCCAATTGATTCAAAATAGACTATATAGGTCTAGACGTATTAGTTTCACAAATATACGCAAGCTAGAAATGTATAATATCCTAATGGTAATAATATTCTTGATATTATGGTAGCAATATATGGGTAATAATCAACAGGCCGTGGCTTCGATTCCCACCGAAATATTTTCTAATCAATTTATAATATTTCTGAAACATGTTTGACTTCCTCTGAGATCTGGAATGGTCGGTACGGGTCACGAAGGTCCACAGATGGTAAGCCATCAAGTTTAATCGTGTTTGATTTCAGTCTGTGGATTGCAGTCTATCTAAAGCCAAAATATTATATATATATATATAAATCTTCTTTAAATGCTATACGGCTGGGGTGTTTTACATACCATCAGGTAAACCCCTTGCTTATATAGATCATAAAGAAAATGGAAAGGAGGTTCGTATAAGAATTTATTGATAAATAAAATCCAACGTATAATCGAGTTAATCTCATTAAAAGTTGATATGGATATAGATTTAAATAAAACACTTTAACGGTTTAAAACGCGATATATTAGTTAAAGTGTTTTATTTAAATGTGTACTACTCGCGTAAACTATAGACAGTATGGATATAGATTCTTAAACTTGTAAATGTTATACTTTAAAATTTGTAATAACTACGTGGATACATCAAGTGTAGATTGCCGTAGACGTCTACGACGTAGCAGGTGCTACGAAATTGCAAAAGAACGAAACGCTACACGCTGTAACGCTGGTGTCGTGAAATTTTACCAATTTAAATGTATTTTTATGCAATTTATAAGTAAATTATATCCTAAACGCTTACAATATGGGCAGATATAAAAATATACTTTTAAGTATAATTTTGTCCTGCAAAAAGATCTCGATTAGTTTTTACAACATTTTTGATTAGATGCCATGCAAATAAAAAGCAAAGGCAGAAACAAAAAAAATTAAGATATTCTTTAAAACTGAAAATCCCGTTTCCCCCGTGGGGCATGGGACTAACTCATTTCTGCGTACTTTTCACTGATCGGTTGTTTTTACAGTCAAGTAGTCAGACTTCTGTGTCCTGCCCGGTTCAAAGAATGTATTGTTTCCCCGGGATTCAAACCTAGTATCCTTAGCGCTTAACTTAAATGAAAAACACTACAGAGAGGTTCCTTTATTCATTAAATATATATTATCTTATTTAGATATAGCACCGGTTCTTTATCCTTTTACGTTTGTTGAAGCTAACTCTTAAATTTCAACTCTAGCATGAAAAGGCATTAGTTGTAAGTGACTTATTCCTTTATTTTTCAGCACAGAAACTCGCCAAATGTGTTTATTGAGTTTGGCTTTCAGTTTTGAAAAGGGTCTTATTTGCATAATTTGCCGTACTCCCTTTGCATAAATATTCCCACTCGCTGTTGTTAGGTATCGTAATTTTAAACTAAGAATTTAAATATATCGATATAAAATAAAAAAGCGATATTTGTAATTAGTAAAGAATTAGACTGAAAAGAAATGTTTATGCCCAAAATTCTACGCCTATAGAGTCGCGGACACATGTAGTGTATAATATACTTAAACACCCTTAAACTTATCTAATGTCAATAAAAATAATCTATATAGCTGGTTTACGTCATTATGATGTCATTTATAAATACAATGATGGAAGTATTGGTATGCCTCGGCCCTTTGAACTATTGTTGACAATTATAACGTACTGAAACGTATAAAAAATACCGAAATAAAGATCTAACAGTTCCTTCCTCTTCCTCTTCCATTTTTCACACACATCTCCTTCTATCTGAGAACAGACAAGCAAGGGTTTCATTTGATGGACGGTGAAATATCCCAGTCATATAACATCTTAACTAGATATACTATCGACCTTTTTTGGCTTTGGATTTTCGGAAATCAACAGACTGCAACCTGAAGACCTACGAGACTGGTTTTTAATTTGTGGACTTGGACGGAATTTTCGATATTCCTACCACCCATTTGATATACAAATTTCCAAACGATGTCCAAATTGTTTCAAAAAAATATACATTTATTACAAAAAACACCGAAGTAATTTTTCGCTCGACCCAGGATTTGAAGCCGGAACATCACGATGTTTAGATAACCAGTCAAGAATACAGAGTCGAGTTTGTATCGCTGGTCCTATTATTTCTAGGTTATCAATGCCAAAGTTGGCAGCTAAATCTACGGAATGATCATTCTTGGACTTCCAAATATAGAGATAGGACAGACGGAATTCCACGATCCGTTTCGACGTCCAGTGGTTAATCAAAAGCTCTCAATAATTACCGTTATAGTTTTCGTGATATTTTAAGATTGTTATGGTGATATATATTTTTTTATTATTACTGTCAAACGCTCAAAGCCGTGGAGGCCACTGAAAATGGGCGCTGATGCATATCGAAATGTGATGTGGGAATGTGTTGATCCGACATTTCTTAACATCCCCAAGGTATGTGTGTTCGTACCTCAATAATAAACCCTATTACTACCTAGGACATCGCTGTCTATTTGTACGTCTGTTACTAGGCTGTATCTTCCTAAACTATGTATTCTCGCCATTGTAAAGATAAGTACAAAGAACAGAAACATAACTTAGATATGTAAGACGGAATTTAATAAATAATGTTACACGGTTTTTTCCACTCTATTTAATATCCAGATGTCCAGACGAAGTCCAACATGTTTCAGAAAAAATATATATTGATTATAGATATTGTGTATTGAGTACATTTTCTCATATTAGTAGATCACATACGTTTACTTTCTAATACAACTTTGCGAAAAGTATGTAATCTGAGGCTTGAATTAACAAACTTTGATCTCACCATTCTCGGCTATCCTTCCGTCTCTCGCACGCCTCGTGCGAACTTTTAAAGCAATTTTATCCTTTGTTGAGAACATTTCAGATTACTAATAAGTTTCGTTTGAGTTTTAAACCCTTCGTATAATATGGAGCTCGAAAAACAAATGTAATTACTTCACATCTTTCGTATTTTCATTCTCTACATTTAACATGTATGTGTAACAACAACAACTTGTTCGGTTGTTTGCTTAGAAACAACATGTTCATCGACATATTTTCTTTTAAAATTAGTCACATGTTCGTAAAGCCAGTCACACATCCTCACAGAATTATGTCTGACTAAATAAATAAAATATATATATCTACTTGTTATGTTTCATTTGGGGGACATCCTTACTGATAATATAAATGCGAAAGTAACTCTGTCTGTCTGTCTGTCTGTCTGTTACTCTTTCACGAATAGGAGTGGGAGTGAAAGTGGGAGTTACAGTAGGAGTGATGTGTGAGAGTGTTGCGGCAAAGTAGCACTTACAACGTAGATTGGCTGCGATAAATGCGCAATTACATAAATTAATAAACAGTCAAATAATCAAAAATTCTACCCCAAGACACTATTCCACACGAACGAAGTCGCGGGCACAGCTAGTAATTATATGAAATATCCGCTTTATATCAATTATATATTCCTATTTTAAAAGTAATCAGTCCTTACAATACCTTCAAATGAGATATTCATCGAAGCATGTATCTTTACAAAGCGAGTGAATTGCCTCGTTCGTGTAGCTACGAGAAACACGATCCTCTCGGAATAAGCTTATAATCTTTGTGTAATCAAAAGTCGAGCGAGCTTTATATTAAGACTGAGTATTATTTACACTTGAAAGGTTCTACTGGTACTGTTTATTTGTATTTTTAGATGTGTATAATATTACTGCTCGTTTTATCAGAAATTTAGAAGGGTTATTATTTTGAAAACATTAATATTTTTCACATGCTATTGCGCATGAAGGCACTATATAATTTAAAAATCGAAAATAAATTGAAAACAATTTCGACTCGGGCAGGACCTGAACCGGCATCGTCAGCTATCCGTGCTGTTGCTCTACCAATTGAGCTACCGAGTCCTACACCTCGTCGTCGAGTTTTTTCAACTTATCGATACATGCACCTCTCGCGCAATGTAATTTCAACCTTAACACTTAAGTTATCTTTAATTCAAATACATAATCTTCACATGAATTATATTAAGTAGTTTTTTACTAGCTATTAGTTGGTAAGCCTCTTTGAAATAAAAAGACCGTAGCGCATTCATGCATTCGTAAAATGTATCCCGGATGAACGACTCGTGTTATCACCCCGGGTAAATGAGCGACATGTGAGTGGAGGTTAACTCCCCGGAGAGTGGGGATTTAGGTCAGTACTCTACATATTGTAACATAACTCATAACTGGGTTAGAAGCGATAATGCGGAATCTAGTTAATAACCATTTACGAATATCGATTTTATGGCCGCTTCCATTTTCTTTGAAAGGTTCCAATACTCACTTTTTACCAGGATTTTTATTCTTTGTTGTGCTTTTTATTTTTTTTATGCATTATACATTTAAACGTCAAGGGGAAACGTGGGGTCTAAATTCCTATTACAAAAAACCTTTTGACTTAATTTCGAATGCTTTTTAACAATCAGATACAGAAAAACAACAGTTTAAGTAAAATAGTTTTTAACCGTTTAAAACGTGGATTATATTAACACGTTTGGTATTGACAAGTACCCGATGTTTCGGATGCTTTACAGCTATTACTACAAGACATCTTATGAACTAAGTAAAAATGAAGTAAACACTTTCCATCGGATTAAAATTATTTTAGTTAATAATTCGTTCGCTATTAAGCGAAGTTTGAAATGCTATACCTACAGTCGTACTAACTGGGTCGTAGCTTTTTATTAAACTAAATATAGCAGATCCTATTGTATAAAAATGTGAGTATTCTAGTCCTTCTACTAAAATACTAAACATGTGTATTAAGCCAAATTTACCAACGAAAAGGTTAAACAAATGTCGATGTCGAGATAAAATAATACCATGACATTGATACGGGTGGTTCAATGTGCCTATATGTAATTGGTACAGGGTGTGGCAACATTAGCGATTAGAATTCGACAATTGATAATATCGATCATCACTTTTTGGTAAACACGACTTACAGATGAAATCTTGATTTCTCCACAAAGTTTATAATGATTTACGCTAAACATTTTGAAGCTCCGGATTATGTTTTTAATTATTATATATTTGAACAATTTTTGTAGTTCGGCATTTACATAGGGATGGGGTGTGAGCAAAGTTACACTAGAAGGTCACGTCAATTTCACATAAAAAAAATAAAAAAGCGGTCGTCATAAAAGTGATTTTGAATATTGAGATCGCTCGGTCCGATTATATATATCGATGTTTCTTTATCTGCGGCAACAACATTGCTCTATAAAAGGTCATCTTGGAGTTCTCTATAGTTTGGAATCTGCCATTTATTGTGGTGTTTTGCCAAGTTAGAAAAATTCACTGTACAAAGTAGTAAATTCTCGCTTTTGCTATACGTTTTTGAAAATTACTTTATTATTTGAAAGCTTTTCAAGGTTTTAAAAATAAGTAGACTCGAACCGGCATTAAGAGCGTTCCGAGCTGCTGCTCTGATCAATTGAGCTACCGTGTCGCACACGTCATCGTCGAATTTCTTAAATCCTTAGAAACATGTAGCTCTCGCATATATAAAAGTAGTATCTGTACCTACATATAAAAAATAAGAATTTGTTTTTAATCCTGTAATGTTGAATCCTGATTTGAGTATTGTACGTTGCCCCCGCGGCCACTACTGCTGCAAAGCATTCGAAACATTGGATCGTAGCTAACATAAAATAAGCTAACTCATATTTTCGTATCTTAAACCTTTATAGTCGGTTAAAATACAGTATCGGAATATATATTTTTCACATGTCATTTGCACATGATGGCACTATGTAAATTAAAAATCGATTTTAGATTGATAATTCTTACGACATGGGTTGGGTCTTGAACCTGCATGTTCAGCGTTTCCTGCTGCAGAGAGCAACAAATTTAAAATATATTAGTAACTAGTACAATTGGCCGGCTTTACCTCATTTGTTTCAGGCGAACCAAAGAAAGAAAATTCATGAAGAATTCTAGGCGGTAGAATTTTTTTTTTTTGAAACTAGGTAGAATTCTCATAATTTGATCGGTTCGAACGTTTTACTTTCGGTCAGACAGGGCACAGTCATCTGTTGTACATACTAAACTACTGCTATTGTACATACTAAAAATTAATAATCATACTTGTCCTTAGAGAAAACTCATAAGGTCTCAGGTTCAGCTTTCGGCAAGTTATAATTTTAGGTATTGCTATGTCCAGTCTATAGATTCTCAACTCGGGGACACTTAAGTAATTGTCTGACAATTTAGGCAAAGTGATTTAAGAACCTATTTATTTTGGCAGCACTTAGTGGAATGGCGCTTTAGTGAACGCTGAAAGTTGATATTTCAAAAACAGTATCAGGAAAAGCGTGTGTTATTTTTTCATTAAAATCATAACTCATTTGCACATTGTATTTTGATACATTATGCCTTGTTCCGTAGTTTTATCCGTTCTGTGGTAATTTAGACTTTACATTATTTACAAAATTGTACCGTTCAGCATGACAATGTTTTTTAGTCAGGCACAAAAATGCTTTTAATTATTGCTTGTAAATAAATATATATGAAATTAATTAGTTAAACGAACACAGAAATGTGTTTGCCCCCTTGCTTCAGAGAGAAAAACAGGGTTTAAAAGAAAGACAAAAACAGGTTTTAATTGCTATTATAAAGTTTTTCATTATTAAAAAAGGCATTAAACTATCTTAAAAACATTAATAATTTAAAGATTTAGGGAATTAGTAGGTTTCAGGAGACCGCCATTAGAAACAAATAAATAAGTATATATCAATTTACAAGTGTTTTTATGTCTGTATTAATTCGTTAAAAAACTAGTTCAATATACAACGACCTGGTAACTTTAGTATTATCTGTATTTCATGCTAGTAATTCTTATATAAACCACTTTTAATGGCTTAAAACGCTGAAAATATTACTGAACTTATTTTTACGCCACGTGAAACCGCATGTCCCCAAATAAAACATACATTGTGATAAAAAATGTTATTTAAAGGTAATGAGATTTGAATAGTGCAATCGGCCCTTATGTCATTATTCTGGTAACTTGGCTGAACAATCCCGAATAAGATAACGCTATGACATAATGTAGCGCTCTGATTGTTTCGCTATCAAAGTTATCCAATACAGCAATCTATAGCTTATCACTCAACAGGTTATCAATTTAATAAAAGCCTGCAACAGGCGCGTCACGAGTTAAGTCTTCAACGCTGAAGCTGAAGTACTTAGTTTCAGCATTGGGCGAATGGACACCAGTACAATGTTTCGTGCCCCATTCGTGTTTATATGCGTGTCTTAGCTATATATTCGGTGTTGTAAAGTTGCCGTTCATGTAACGAATGAGTTGTATTGAAATTTGTAGAATCGCTTTAGTTTCTTCTACAAATTTTGGAAAGAGAGAAATTGAATACGAAAATGAAATGGTTTTTAGATATGGAAAAAAAGCAGCTATGGAAACTTTAGTAACGTCCCGGTAAGTAACATATATATGATGTGAACACAGTTCTGAATTATTTCTTATTATATATTCTTGGTCAACAGTAATGTATATAAACTCAATTTGTGGCTAATCTAGGAAAAGTTCAATGTACACTAGGTTAAGTCTAACGTAAGCCATTATATAAAGAATTTTAAAAATCAGTCAATAGGCGAACACATTTTTGTTCCCTTTTTTCTTATCATTCTTATTTACAGGCAAGAAGTAAGTCAGATTACCCTTAACCGAGGCTCGAACACTCATGCAAAAGCAATAGACTTAACTATTAAATCATATTATTAGTCTATAACTTGGATATAAATAATCCCTATCTTATAAATATCAAGTAAGATATAACATAAGACGACGATTGGGTTCGAATCCCATGACTTTTTTTTATTAATTTAAGACCAAGATTATAATTATTGTAGTATTGTTAATATAGTAAATAGTTTAGCCTTATTTACGCCAAGTAAGATACGCGAGAACATGAGGATTGTGTTGAAGATTCACCATTTCAATTTTAATTTTTATACATTAATTTAATACTAGTCTGCTATAATGATTATCTTAATATCGGTATTTCAACTAAATTACAAACCTAAAAAAATATGAAATATACTTGGGCAGAAGTAATAAAAACCAAATAGCTTAGCTCCACGTATCTCATATAAAGCTATCCACTTCCTTTCAACTTTCCCGCTACAATAGTTATGTTTACCACAGTCACGTGCTTACCGGGCCAAGATTGTCGAAGCCGTGGTGGAGGGCTATGTCCCGGGCCTCTTCGTGACGCAACGACCTCTTGAAACGGACCAGGAAGGTGTTTGTGAAAATTTCGCGCGAGGAGGCCGCGGCCAACAACACCGTTGCGGTGATACATTGCAACCACATGATCACCGTGGCCACCAGCGGCTGACTGAAGCCGGATGCCTTTGACGTCACCGTTTATCGATCGGCGGGACGCGCAGGCGTCGCAGATTATTAGCGCCCGATTAATGGTGGTTTGGCAGTCGGCCGCAATCGAAGCCGAACCGAATGTTGAAATATACACTGGCTGTGTACCGACTTTGTTTGCGTCGTATAGTTATTTTGGGCATATTTATTTTTGCAAGCTTTATAATATATAGCTGTTACCACGACGTCGTCCGCCTCAAGTCGTTCTTGCGAGTGAATTGTAATGATGGACTGACGCGGAATTTTGGATCATTTAAAGAGAAGTCATTATTTTCATGAATTTGACTCGCACGCAACGGAAGCCCTTAAAGAACAATTATCTCCGTATTTTTTACTGTTTTTTCGCTCCTATTGGTCGCAACGTCTTAACGCAAAGGCCTCCCTAGATAAACCGTCTATCTAACACAACAAACTTAATTAAATTCGAACCAGCAACAACAAACATTAGCACGTTCAAAAAAACAAACTCCTTCAGCTTTATAATATTAGTATAGATACGCATAAAAACTTATAATTTCAAAAAAATTGTCTCGACGTGGCAACCGTTTTGTGGGGCGTATACATTACACCATAGCACATTTAATAGAGTTCCCGCTTCTTTGATTTCACGACCTGCCGCGCTTCTATGAATTTAACCGAAAAATAAAGCCGAAATTACAATGTGTATCCGAAGCCGATCTTGCGATCAGTACAGATTAAAAAGGGACTGATAGGAAAGTATTGTTTTGATGGAACGGCCCACATGTCTCGCTGACCTTGTTTGCGCAGACACTACTTACCAAGACGTGAAGTTCAAAGGGAATATTCGCTGCCTCCGTTCGTTATGATCGTTAGAAAATGAAAAGTGGGCGGTTTAATACGTATGGAGAAGGATGTTGTTGTGTGTTTGTTTGTCCGCTCACCATATTGTAACGAAGCAACTGAGTAGTAGCAAAGTCATATAGAATATAAAAGAAACTTTGGTTATAATTTATTTATATCATTATCGATATAGAAACACTTAGTGAATCTTTTCGGTTAGTTAGTGGCGAATGTGACGCCATCTTTGATATTTCGGACGCAATTTTTAGCGTTAGATTCCAAAATGTAGCGCGGAGCCATGAAAACAGTTACTTATTTCACAGTCTCACTTAGAAGTAAATAATTGATAAATTAAATTATAAGATTGCATAAAGTACTTCAATAAAACACTTTTAACGGTTTATAACGAAATTTATTTTAACTACGGCCGTCACCCGAAACGTCTTGCAGAGCAGTTAAAATCAATTGAACTATTTCTCGTTAACTCCCGCAGACTAAGACAATAATTAAAGTAAAAAGTGTCAAGCCATGCTCTATTACAATCAATTTCGGTAACACTGTACAAATTATAAGGTAATCTCATAAAACACTGAGAATTTAATAAAAACAAACTAGACATTCAATAGACTTTCTAATTTAGTAAAATTTTATTCTTAAACGAAGATATTAATATATATACTTATCTTAATAGAAATATTTTTTATAATGGCTTTTATTAATCTTACACAAAAACCTTAACAACATCTATTACATATTACTTGAATACATTTTATTCATTCGCATGATTATGAATAGAATAAAAAATTGTACGCCCGCGCACAAACCGAAGTCTCGTTCAATTACATTTCGTCATTACAATCTTTACGGTGCCATAACAACGGAATTAAACCTATAAAACACTTTAATCATGTTTTATTGGCCCATTTTACACGCAGAACTCGAATATGTATCCAAGTTTTATTTTCTTCTATCTTATTTCGTACGTAAGTTCCTCATTATGCAAGAATTTGGAAGGAAAAGTGGTAGGGGGGGAATACGCGGCGATTAAGAATTTCCCCCACGTTGCATTCCTGGAGATAGATGTGGAAGGTGCTAAGTTCATATGTGGATCGTCTATTTTGAACCAAGTGCTGCTGGTCACAGCCGCTCACTGTTTTGAAGCGATTACTAAAGATAGCTACATAGGCGTGTACGCCGGTCATCATGATGTTTTTAAGGTAGTAACGTTTAATTGAAATATCGTATCTATAGTAATATTTTAAAGCTGAAAAGTTTGTTTGTTTGAGCGCGCTAATCTCAGGAACTACTGGTTCGAATTACATCGATAAAAAATTGTGCTGGTTATAGGAAGTTTTTGAGGAATGCTTTAGGCTATAAAACCTGACGGTGCGACAAATAGCCGAAGAAATAGCGAGAAATGTGAAAAAACAAAAAAGAAGCTATTTATTTTTGACGGTGTCCGTTGCGTGCGCTACGGATACGGTTCAAAATACAAAAATTAGAAAAAAAAAATATAAAAGAATGATTGGTTTTTTAATTATCAACTGCTATATAAATATATAAATGGCTAATTAGGTATATAAAAAGTAATGTTATGTTTTCTTTCTTTTTAAAATAAATACACGAAATTGTATGCCTTTAAAACCGCACGGCGGGATAATGTTATGAGATGTAATAAGAGCTATTTTGAGTTGACATATATATGTATTAAAATAAACAAGGATTAAGTACAGTCTGTAGTTTACAAAACTACCCAGTACAAAACGGTTGGTACCATTTATAATGCGAACCTGCAAAGCATGCGCCACTTCAGGCTGTAGATAAAATATGGTCTAAAAAGGTAACGAATATATATCGCGTTTTAAACCGTTACAAGTGTGTTAGTGAAATAAACAAGCGTTCGCTAAGTGTTAATAGGTAGAACCTTAATAATTGGATGGCTAGATTACTTTCTTTTAGGTGACCTTAGTGAGATCAGCGAAGGCAGTGTACAGACATAAATCATACGATAGTGATACCATAGTAAATGACATTGCCCTGGTAAAATTGAAGGAAGCATTACCTTTGGGAAACCTTATAAAACGCGTTATCTTGCGACCAAGCACGCCTAAGGATGGCGAAGAAATATTGGCTGGTTGGGGAGCTATTAACGTGAGTATCTTTTTAATTAATAAAAGATCTTATAAACTACTTATCCATACTTTTAAAACTTTAGTTTTCGAATAAACTCCTTTCCAGTTCTTAATTGCCTTTTCACGATCCTCTCAAGCACCGCCTACCTTCAGTCCTTTCTCTTTGTTTTCCCTTCACCTCAGGTTGCCTGGAAGGGATTATTGTATAGTGATAACACCGCCTTTTATTTAAACATTATTGTGGTGTTTACAATAAAATAATACAAAACATGTCTTTTTTTTAAATTCGATTATCTCTGAATTTCTTTCACTTCCATTGTCTGGTTTCCGAGCAATTCTTAGCGTACTTTTAATACCTCTGTACCTTCCTTTATAACACAATTAATCTTGCAACCAAAGTAACCAACGTAATCGCTTAATTACTAAAACCTTTGTGTACAAACCAAGTTTTTAAATTTTCAGGCCCAAATGAGTGAATTTGATTACAAATTGAAAAGTGTTTCGCAAAAATTGAGAAGTAAGGATTCTTGCTCCCGTATTGGATCCCTTCATCCGGGGATGATTTGCGCGGGAAGTTTTGACCCTAAAATGGCGAGGCCTTCAAAGTGAGTCAATCAACGATCTTATAAAAAATTGTCCTGATGTGATATGCTATTATAACCAGCGTCGTTCTTGTTCTTTACCCACAATTATTAAGGACTCGTTGATGATTGTAGTTAATTGTGATTTATAATCAAAAAATCACGGGTTCGATTCCCACCGGGTCTAGCATGATTCTAATCAATTTATAATTGTTCTGAAACATCTAGGAGTTCATCTGGAAATCTGAATATTAAATGAGGGTAGGAGATTCGAAATTCAAATCGGATTACGTACCTAAACTTCAATCCCGTTTTGGTTTCAGTTTGTATATTTCCGAATATCCAAAGTCAAAATAGGTCGCAGTGCATCTTGTTAAGATATTATATAGCTGGGGTATTTTACATTCCTTCAAGTGGGCACCATGCTAGTCTGTCCTCCTCTATCATAAAAAATGTCATCGCCGTACATACTATTCCTTAATGGACTAGACACAATATAGAATTGAATTAAATTACAAATTTTCAAGGCTGGACTAGAATATAATGAATATACTTAATAGGGTACTTTAATTGCCTTCTATCATAGCATTTCCTTGATTAATACAATAATAATAGGATAAAAATATCTAAACTATAAAAAAACTCTATTTAATATAATAGCAGAAGAACTTTGTACTATTGGTTAAATATTTTACCATCTATAAAAAGTACAAAGAGTTTTATTATAAAGAGGTTATACATATTTCACTATTTTTTAGAGGAGACTCAGGCAGTGGATTGGTTAGCAAAGACTACCAGATAGTGGGTTTGGTGTCACATTTGGTTAATGCTTACCCTGCAATTATAGTCTATACAAATGTGTCCTACTACTATACATGGGTTCACGATAAAGCAGAGAAGATATTATGCCCAATAGATTGACAGGGAATAAATAATTTTTAATGTTCTTGACTTTTATTCCCGTCAAATTCATATTACCTTAAAACTACATTGGATACACACCAAACCTATAATTATACATGATAATATATCTATGTTTTTAGATATACATATAATAAGAACGGTCCTTCCACTGAGAGATAAAGTAATAGTTAGATAACAAGTAGCAAAATAAAACAAACAATATATATAACAAATATATTCATAACTTCAATAAACTAGACTTTATCACAAGATTAATCGCTAGTGGTCGCTGTTCCCGGAGCCCCAGATTCATTTTCCATAGCATGTGATGGCGGATGCTCTAAAACATTGTCGATTAATCCAAATGTCTTTGCTTCAACTGGAGACATGAAGTAATCACGTTCCATTGATGTCTGCACTTTGTCAATAGGTAAACCAGTGTGACGCACATATAAACCATTAATTTGAGCTTTCAGTTTTAAAATCTCCTCTGCCTGAATTTGAATGTCAGTAGCTTGACCTGTAACACCACCTGATGGTTGATGAATCATAATTCTAGAGTTAGGTAAAGCATGCCGCATACCCGGTGCTCCAGCGGCTAAGAGCAGTGAAGCCATACTGCAGGCCTGTCCAACACACCAAGTGGCCACTGGGGGTGTTATATATTGCATCGTATCATAAATACCCAAACCAGCAGTCACATTACCCCCTGGTGAATTAATATATAGGTGAACAGGCTTCTTGCTAGATTCAGACTGTAGAAACAATAGTTGAGCAACGACCAAGGAACTAATTGCGTCATTAATGGGGCCCATTAGACATATAATTCGTTCTCGCAATAGTCTCGAGTAGATGTCGTAAGCCCGCTCGCCTCTACCAGTTTGTTCGACTACTATAGGAATCATTCCTAACCTTGCAGGTTCACTTGTGCTTAAATTCCTCATGATATCCTTGCGTCCCTCATGTAGACACAGGGTTTTCCATGTCTGCCGTGCGAATTTCAAAGCCATTTCTAGGTCTTTAACCTTTGCTCACGCCAACAAAAAGGATGGTACTTTGAGTTGAGTATTTAAATATAAAGTTTGTGTTTATATCATGCTGTTTTAAAATAACAAGTGAGGGTTTGAACCAAAATTTTATATTTTATTTAAGTCTTATATTTTTTTTACTTTCTTCAATTTATTGTTCCCGTTTTGAGAACTTTATAAACTTTTAAACTAAGTCAATTGTCATTGTCGGTTGTCACCCTGTTGTGACAGATACAGATAATATATTTAACAGAATAAAAATAATGTCAAGGCATACTGCAGTCATTTAATGGAACAGCTAATCTAGCATTAAATATATTTTATGAAACTTATTATTTATTATTTATGTATATTTCTGTAATTTTCCTCAACTATGTCAAGATATTAAATTCAACTAAAGAAATTTAATTATTTATTTCAGCTGAATGTAAGAGAAAAATGTCCATGTTTTCTTAATTATAATTATTGCTTGATAATTATTCATAATGCTTCTTATCCAAGTTTTGTGGTTGCGCAATCTTCCTCGTCTAATATTCATGAGTCCCATTAAAAAATTAACAAAATGCTTGTTATTAATTTACATTTATTTTAACATTCATTTACAAACATAATAATGTATTTTATAGCGTACATACCATTTTGTACAAATATTCTATATTAAAATAGGCGAAATAATGTTAATACTTAACTACGCATAATTAATATAGCATTATATGCAATTTTAATGACACCACTTCTCATAGTTATATTAAAATTTAAAGTAAATAGAATTATTCTCAGAAAATAAGCGGTTAGATCTTTTTAGCAATATAAAAACTAGCTTAGGCTAGACTTTAGACGTAATGGGCAAACTTATAAAACGCTAAGGCCACACATTATCCATAAGTTATTTCTAAGCACCGTTATGTTTTGTATAAGCCCATATTGTAATAGAACCATTTGAAAAAAATCTCTTCGCAGTATTATATTGAGATTCGTTCTATTTCTTAATGTGTCGTAATTGATTAACATGTACTAATATTGACCTGTGATGTTTAGAGTGGAAGCGTTCAGAGTAAGTTGTATTTGGCATTTACAAAGCTCAATGGAAGCACTATAAAGTCAATAGAAATAAAAAATCCTTATAAAAATCCAAGTTATCCAAAGGTTTTGTGCATATTTCTGTAATGCAGTAAAAGAAATTCATCTCAAAACGTCTTGTATATAAAATAATTCTCACAATATTAGCTTTTAGTTAGTATAAAAAATACATAGTGTGCTATACGTCAAATTGTAATAAATAATAAACACCCCTTTATGGTAAATTCCTCAAGGCACAATAAAAGTCTGTACATTTTATAAGGCTTAAAATTATTGTATATAGTTCCGGGTCCCCTAACGAACAATTACCGTATTTGGTGGTCGTTTCTGCAGGGAGGCCATTCTTAAAAAATCAATTTATGTCATTTCAGACATATGTCAGCGTAAAATATATAAAAAATTACGAGAATAGCCCCCCAGTGGTACCATTTTAAAAATAAATAATTTATGTCCATCCACCGGTCAATTTGTGGAATAGTTCTTCGTCTAAAGTTTGGTTGGCGTCTTTTGAACGCATCGAGAGGAAGATGTAGCCTCCAATGAATTCGTGGACTACTTTGCAATCAGCGGACTGGACTGAGAATATGATGCTTCCCTCCTCGAATTGCACCATCATGTGCTTTATCTCCCAGTTTACGTTCCAGGCCTGGAAATAATTAATTCGCGTTAGTTATTTTGAAAGTAAGGAGTTCCTAGCAAATTTAATGAAATAAAACATTGACTGAGTCTGCGACAGATTTTGAAAGGCTCATGGTAGCATGATATGTATGTATCAAAAGGGTCGGAGGCTCAATCCCAACATGTTCGTAAAATAAATGAATACATTTTTAGACTTCGCCTGGAAAATCTGCCTATTAAATTGGTGGTAGGAATTGAAATTCCGTCCGGGTCACGGACCATGGTCCCCCGATGAAGAAGAGGTAATCTTTATACGCTTCTCAGTTTTAGTCTGTGGATTTCCGAATATCCTAAACCAAAAGAGGTAGACAACGCGTCATTTGTAGATGTTATACGCTTGGTATATTTCACCTTTTATCAGGTTCACCTCTTGCATTCCTCTTATAAAAATATATGCATAATAAGTTTCTGAGTAAAACAAGCATGAGTACCTTCATAGTGCTGAACCGCCAGGTCTTGATGTGGTCTCCGGTGTTAGGGTCCAGTCGCATAATGCGGTTGTTGGCGATGCTGATGATCTCATCTTTACGGTGGCCCATGAAGCGAACCACGAACAGCGTCTGGCCGTAGTCCGGCAAGTTCTGCCAGGTCTTGATATATTGAAGTTTAGCCTCCAGCAGCGGAAGGTCTTTCACGTTCGCGTGGCTTTCAAGCACGCGTTGGGTGAACTGAGGAATGAAACATCAATTGAAACTTTTACTCTGGATGTTAAAACCAGCAATTCTACACCTGTTACAAACTATTATACGTTACAAAATACAATTTTTTGAATTGTTTATATAATTAATTCTAAAATCATACAGCTTAAGGGCTCAAAAGTCAAAACCCTCTCAAGCTATTGCCTAACCCCGCCCCCTAAATCGTTTTAAATAATAAGAGGGGCCTAAGCACAAGGTCGTAAAGACTCCGGACACTCTTGCTACAATATGTGGTAGCCAATAAAAACACTTAAGAAGACCATACCTTGCTTTTAAGCTTCTTAAGGAATCGCGGGGCTAAATAATTTTCCGGCTGCAAGTGGTCGAGGTGCGGCAGGCTGTGCTGGTTCAATGCCGCTCCCGGCTGCGGCCTCTGCAGCGCCAGCAGCGATTTTACAGTTGACACCTCTGTTGAGAAAGACGCGTCGGCCAACGAACGACCTCGTGAACCAAGTCGGCACGCAGCTACCCAATCGGCATATTGATCTTCCTGAAAAATTAAAATTATTTTATGATTTGTTACTTCAGAAGTATTAATTAAGTATTTATTATACCAGGGAATTATTTGAAATAGTATGACTATTTTAAATAATTTCACATAATTCATTTCATAATGTAATTTCAACCTTAACACTTGCATATCAATGTCTTATGCTTGGCTGCTTAATAAAATAATTGAATATTAAATTCCAGATTTTAGCGTTTGAAGACAAAGAGGTGCATGTATCAATAATTAAAATAAATTGAGAGACGGATGTCGAACGCTGCCGAACGCAAAGGCGATTGTGCTTCTTTGTCGCGCGTTCCGCGCTCTCGCTTGCACTTCAAGCCTTACTTGGAACGCCTCAGAGCGAGGTAACGCCGCATGAGTCATGTTTTTTCGTGCGTGCAGCCGGCTCTATCGAATTATAAGACGTTGTCACGTCAAAAAATCGACCATGACGTGTAGGACACGGTGACTCGATTTAATAGAAATATACTTACGTTTTCACACTTCAGCCACATTTCGTGCATGGTGTCTTCTGAAGGCACTTCTAATTTGATGCCGTATCGACCAGAAGCGGGGTGGGCGTCTGGTGTCACCTGAACATAATATAAAATGCATTAAAAAAAGATATGTGTGTATGTATGATGTGTGTAGTATATGATGTGATGGTTACTTACGAACCTATAAATATTTGAATTTATTGTTGGTGATAATTTTTGGAAACCTTTCAAGTGAAAACTACTTGGAAAGTAGGTTTTGGAAGGTAGTTTTAAACAAAAATGTAAAAACATGGTTCTTTTAAAAAAAATGTTCTGCATTAAAATTGATGATGTATGACAGCAAACGAACCTCAGCTCCTCTCAGTTCGACGTGGTAAGAGGGCGGGTCGCCCTTAGCAGCGGCGTCGCGAGAGCTGTGTATGCGCAGCACTCCGTCGCGACACGAGACCCAGCCACGTTTGTAGGCGCGCAGCGTGAAACGCTGACGTCTGTTCACCAAAGCATATATAATACTTTAGTAACAATATTACTAATCAAAGTGGTTGCCTAAATTAATATTTAAAATGGCACAGGTTATAAAAAAATTAATACATATGTATTGAGGAAAAGCGCAAAAAGCAAAGTTTCAAATGTTATACGAATTCAAAAACGATTAGTAATACATTTGTGGGGCTAAATTTTGGTTCACCATAAAGATTTATTTACAGAAAAGCTTACCATTAAACCACATTATTTCAAAACTCAAACGTATGTTAGTATATTATTTTAAAATATACAGAAAATTGGAAAATAAAATACACATCAGGGGATAACAAATACTATATCTTACACACAAGTCTCGCCGTGAAACTTTCTTTGTGGCACGCCGAGAACGACCGACAATGGAAAAATAGATATAAAAATAAATAAAAAACAAAATACATATTACTTAAAAATATAACATCGAAAACAATATATAATACTGAAAAGGATTAAATTAACATAGTACATATAATACCATTAGTATACTGGTTTATGCATTTAAGCATCCGAACATCGGGTCGTTACAACGACAATATTTCTCGTTCTACACTGTGACAAGTGTTTTATTTCAATCTCTCACAGGTAGCGATAACGAGTTGATCTAATAATAATTTAAAGAAACAATTTCCTCATAGTCATTGTAACTTACCCCCTATACTTCAAGTAACCAGCTAATTCTGGTACATGGGTTATATCGGGACGTGCCGGCGGACCGCCTTCTAATTGTACTTGCAACTCGCTGAGGGCTGCATCGATCTCGTCTTCGGGTGCAGCAGCAGCACCGCTGCTATTGGATCCGTCTGCTGCTTCTAGACCACCACCGGTTAAGGTTTGCAGCTCTATTTGCAGCTGAAAGTAGATACGTGATGTTATATTTTCTCTTCAAAGCTCCAACAGGTTGGCGTTAGTTAGGTTGGTTGCCGCTATTAGGATCGTTTGCCAATAAAGTTGACTATTTTAAGTTCTTATTACTGGACTCTAAGTCTTATAATATTACCGATTTATTTGTTTTAAACAATTTTCGCAACAAACCTGTAAAGCGGCGAAGAGTAGCATTTCCTCTTCAGTACAGTGCACCTCCTGGTTGAGGATCTGCCAACGGGCCTGCTGGTATAGCTGGTTGAGCCTCGACGCGTCTTGGGCGCGCGGCGTCAGGTCAAAGAACGAGTAGAACTTGAAGCGAAGCTGCAGCGTATCCCATTCGCGGACATATTGCTCCATTATGGAGAGGGACGAGTCTAGCCAGCTGGAAGGTCAGAGTATGGATTGAACATCATTACTACCACGACATTATGGCAATAAATAACTTCTTGGTTAATGGAAGAGATTATAATACACACGTTTTTCAAAAATTTGGACGATTTATATTCAGTGATTATGTTAATTTTTTCTTACTTGGCAAAAACAAATATGGCCGATTTCAAACCATAGAGAACTAGAGAAGACCTTTTATAGAGTGAAATTGTTGCCAAAGATCAAGCTTCGATCGACCTCAATACTAAAATCACTATTATGACGACCTTTTTTTGTAATTTGTTATTACATTATTATTTAACTCCACTTTTGTAATGCTTTGCAGCGATCGTGCATGATTTGTGTGTCTCAAAGTGTTTTTAGTGTAAATCAACGTAAACCTTATAAGAAAAACACGATTATTAAAAAATGCACGGTTAGAATAAATACACCATAGATGAAGTTATTCAGATTCTTATTGGTGTTTTTTAAAAGTACCTAATGAAACAATTCAATAAATGCCTTTAACATGCAATAATTGTCATCATACGATAAGCAAGTCCTTCTTCTTTCGTTTACTTGTGCAGACCCTTTAGTTGTATGTATCATTTTTTTTACTAGATATCTATTACAAACTTCCTTATTTAAAATTATTAGTCAAGAGCAACATCTTTAATGCACAGCCTACCCAACATTCATCCTAGCGCGTTCCATCAGGGACTTTGGTGTCAGAAGCGACTCGCGCGACTGGCTGTCAGGCTCTAGTGGCGAATCTGCCAGGGACAGTTCGGCGAGCGAGTCCAGGGCGTCCATAGATGCCGCCCGAGGTGGGGTACCACAGTAGCCACCATCGCTGGAGCCGTCGCTCTGTGTGCTGTATATGTGACCGCCGTAGCGACGAAGCGTACCGTTCTGGAATCGGAAAGGTAGCAAAAGTTACGATATATCTTTACTGGACGCGAGTGGTAGTGGCGAGTCATAACAAGAAATTTATTCGTACTTATTCATTATCGTCGTAAAAAATGAACAATATAAATCACATTCTTATTCTTATCTTAATAAACCCATTTATATTTATATTCGGTGTGTCTCTAGTCAAAATAGGTCAGCGCGCATCTTGTTAAGTTTTTATATCGTTTTTCGGGCTTCGACCCTTTTTGACTTTAGATATTTGCAAATCCACAGACCGAAATCGAACACGTTTTTCGTCTGTGGGCAGTGGTTTGTTACCCGGACTGAATTTCGATATTCCAACCACCCATTTTATATGCAGGTTTCCAGACGAAGTGGTACATGTTTCATAAACAATATTAATTGAAAAATTTAATTATTGATGAATATTAAATACTGTCTATAGTTTACGCGAGTAGTACACATTTAAATAAAACACTTTAACGGTTTAAAACGCGATGTATTAGTTAAACTTATTTGAAAATGATTTTTAACTTCGGCCCGACGTTTCGGATGCTTTGCAGCAGCCGTGGTCACGGGGAGACTAAGGATGGAGGACTAAGTTTAACTAATATATCGCGTTTTAAACCGTTAAAGTGTTTTTTTTTTAATATTGATGAATATGTTGGACCCGGTGGGAATCGAACCCACGATCCGTGGATTATGAGCCAGACATGACAATTAGAACGGCCCCGTTGTTTGTTTTCTTTCATAGGCCGTAAGTTATTCTAAACGTTTAACAAAACTGACCTGTTGTGATGCGACAGGCGTAGCGGAAAGCGACCTGGGCGGTGGCGGAGTAGCAGGGCATGGCAGAGACCTGTCAAGACTGTTGGACGAACCACGCGTGGCGGCTATGAACGTGTTAGTATCTGCAGGATGGGAGGCTTTGATCTTCTTAGCTTCCTTCAGGTTCTGGTAGTTCTGCTTTAGGTGGGATGGTTCGAGGGGATAGCAGAGGGACAACTCTTCTGGATGCCGTATACCTGAAAGAAATAAATAGTATGACACATGATAGAAACTTAAAAAATAAGCATTTTAATTCGCAATTTATGATTTTACTCGTCATTATATATTTATATGTAAATCCTATATATATTCTTATTTCTTGATAATTTTTAAATAATTTAAGTTAAGGACTAAGAGAAACTACATACGTTTTAATGGTATCATAGTCGTTTGGCAGAAGGCTACTCACTTACTAATATAAGTTTATCTAAAGATACCTCTTACCTAGACTCTTGCACAACTGGACAACAGCGCTGAAAGTGTCAATGGAGAAGTCAATCTTGCAGTCGATGTAACGCAGGTCTGGTAACTGGATCCGCAGGGGTTTGTGCATTGGTGTGAAGTGGAGAGCAGCATCAGCATGGACTCCGTACTGGTCCAGCGTATGTTTCGGGCGGGACAGCCATTTGTTTCGCGTGGGCCACCATAGGGCGTGATCTGACCAATCCTTTTTGAAATCTGTAAAAAATTTAATAATATTTAGAAAACTTAAATAAAAACATAATACAAATATGTACTACGTTTTAATACGATAAAAGTAATAACAACAAGAAGTATCATTTCATCTTTCGTCTTCACGTACTAACATAGTTAAAGTATTAAAATAAAACACTTTAACGGTTTAAAACGCCATATGTAATGGTTAAACTTAAAAAAAATATTTTTAATTATGGCCCGACGTTTCGGATGTTTTGCAGCAGCCGTGGTCACGGGGAGACTGTTGTTCGGACGGAACGCTGACGATGCCGTTTCAAGTCCTATCCGAATCAAAAAAAATTTTTAATTTATTATCGATTCTTAAATTATATAGTGCCATCATGTGCAATAACAGGAGAAAATATTATTCATTAATTATTAAATAATTTAAAGTTTTCAAATATAAAAATACTAATCTACATTCTATTCATTATACACGCGAACATAATCCCACATATAAAGTGTACACATCGCAAGAACGCTATCAATTTCTTAAAACAAGAAATAAAACAATCATCCGGTCTTGAGATGCAACAAGAAAAAAGGTTCACACTGCAGCCCTTATGTACGGCAGTACACATGATTTACCAGCGCGGAACCATTAGAAAGAGCTCTCCGTCTGTCATTGTGAACTCTAACTCTGCAGGAAGGGAGTGGTTCAGATTACGCTGGTCATCGCTACTCGTGTACAGTCGGTTGCAAAAAGTATGATACAGTTTTACGATACCTCTTAAAACTTAGAAATTGCATAAGGCTTTTGCGGTCATTTTGCATAGCTTAGGTTGGGTTATTATTTTTTTTTAATACGCACACAGCTTATGTTACACACAGCAGTCAATAAGTACGATTAAGTTTTCGGGCAAGCATTCTACTGTTTACATTAAAAATCTCCATTATCACGTGATTATGTTTCAAACGAATTGTGTCAAATTTTAATGCGTCGTATCCTAGATGTTTCTTTAAAAGACTCAGTCACAAAAGAGTATGAGGGTTAGATGTATACACATTTTTTGCCACCGACTGTACCTTTTACTGCGCATGAGTCATTCGAAGCAGCGTCAGGCAATTCTAGTTCTAATTACATAGATGAATCACGACGCGTTATACTAAAAATCTTTGTCTCTGACTGATTTAGTGACCGTCGTATTTTATTTATTTGTACGCTTCGTATTAACATGGCCAAAGAGACGATATAAATGGTTAAACGATACCTACTTACTAAAAGTACGAAATTAAAAGTAGGTACTCATGATATCTTTTTTTTTTTAAGAAATACTGTGTTCATCATTTGGTTTCGCAATATATAATTATTAAACTTAATTCTTGAGTCCAAAACATTATTGGTTAAAGTTTTAGACTTGATAATTTAATCATGAGAAACTATGTATATTGCATTTCATCCATTATTTTGTCATTCTAATACTGAATATTTTATTGCAAAATGTCATGAAGAATACAGAACAGCTTACAAAAATAATGTGTACAAAATTAACCGAATCCTTCGTTTAAATTAAGTTATAATAATTAATGCTGACAGACAAATTTTATTTTGTTTCTTTTTGTCTAGAATAATAAACTATCACATGGCGGGCTTGGTGGTACAGTAGTAGCAATGGATGAAAGATGTCGTGGGTTCGATTTCCAGATCTGAATTCATGCTAAAATCAAAAACATTTTTCTGAAACAGCTGAAAGTATTTTTAACAACTTTTTTAAAGTCTAGACATAAAACGTCTTGATTTATAAGATCAGACAATTCTTTAGAAGCCGACCGTGAAGCGAGACGTATGCGAACCGTTCGTGATTCATGCTTCGAAAATATTTCAATTTTAAACAAAACAGCTTTTACTTGACAGCACGGCTGCTGTAAAGCATCTGACAGGTCGTATAATGTTATTAATAAAAAAATGTCCAAACAAAATATAAATTAAATATTGAAACAGACCAAAGCGAAGACATTACTGAATTTAGATTACGAGTGCATTACGTTTAAATAAACACTTTCACGGTTTAAAACGCAAATATACATGTGGAGCCGTTGTTAAAATAAATATGTAAATTAGTTAATTTCGCGTTTTAAATCGTTAAGTGTTTTATTTGAAGCAATAGTATCTGTCTGAAATATAGACGTGGCAACACTTGAAAGCCGTCTAGACACATTCATGTTTAGCCAAATAAACATGTTCATGTTCAAGTCCAGTAGTTTATTTTTCGTCATATAACCGAATTTCATTTTCATTAAGTAAAATTTGAATAATTTCCTCGTTTGCAACTAAGACCTCACATAAATTAAATAAGCTAATAAGTTATCTCAATGGCAGAAAGGTTTTAAAGCAACGGTATGACATGTCCTGGTTCAAGTCATTCTTTAGTCTTTCTTCGAAAACGTCTTGCTCATTGTACATTCTTACTATTGGACCGACGCGCACGCTAAGTTCTTTGGCTATACCAATAGTTGATATATCTAGTTTTTTGTATATAATTTAATTGCATCATCTAAAATATTAATTACTTCTGACATGTACACGACGGCGTTGCGGTTATGCAAATAAATAATAATATCTATATGTATATATCTATAACATACATTCCGCGCATTCCGTGGAAAAAACCACAACGTCTATACACATAACATAACAATTATGTATATATAAATAAAACACTTTAAATATGTTGGTTAACCTACTTACAATTTATTATAATTACGGCATTTCGGATGCTCTGCAGCAGTCGTGGTCACGGGAGAACAGAATGTGGAGGGTGTCTCTAATGTTAATGTCAAATCTGCAACGCTAGCGCCATCTCTTTCGTCGTACTTTATATTTGGCATACGAAACGGCCGTAGTTACAATGAACTGTATATAATCTGATTAGTATATTTCCAGCTTCAAACTGTTAAAAAAATAATTTATTTGTGTACTACTCGCGCAATATACGTAAATAGTTAAATATGTTATTAAGCCATGTATGTAGTTTACGCGAATTGTAAAATTAAAAAACACCTTTTTAGTGGCAACTACAATAGATCTATGACCGATATTTCGCGTTTAAAACCGTTAAAACTGTTTTATCTACGCCGAGCACTAAACTTGACGATATTTTTTACATACTTAAGAGTTAGACACTCTATCAGCTTTCAAGCATTTTAATTGGCGCTTATGTAATTACCAATCGTTGTTGAGTTTAGATTAATTAATTATTCCAACAGTAGCGGCGTTCGTTTCTTATATGGTATTCAATGTCGAGGTGGCAAGTACCATTATGGAGCCACGATACTAGATTCGATTTCTATGCATATTTGCCGACTAAAATAGACAGTCGAGATGTTACGCAACTTTTCACTCTGTGACTGGGAACTGTGATTCGAAATTCGAATCAGTAACAGTCACAGTTCAGCTCTGAACCAAGAATGTCCGAAAATAAAAGCTAGTTCCAAACATTCGATACATAATACTACTATAATGCTTATTAGATATAATATTACAAAGGCTTTTCATTTATTTATTAGAGTATTGTAGTACCTGTGTATAGAAAACTCACTGGTGCTTTGTATCAATCGAATTTCAAGAGAGTATTCCATGCACAGATAGTAAAGGTGCATTATACGCATATCGGATATCTATTGAGAGCAAAAATATAAAGAGGTATAGTATAAAAATAGTTACGTGACTAGACCGCAATCAAATTTGATATAAAACTTCGTGAAAAACATAGATAATAGATATTCTATCGGTAGTACGTTGTAGTTACATCTAAACATCCGAAACGTCGGGCCGAAGTTACAATAAATTAACAAATGTATTTTGCGTTTTATACCGTTAAATGTGTTTCAATTATGTCTTAATTGTCTGGTATTCGAATGCTAGGCAACGTCTACGTCTCTACGGCTTACACCGTTTTGGAAATACAGTGATTTATAACAGTGATTTCTGTACCACTAAAATACAGCTCAATAAAGTGATCTAAACTTCGAACCGCATCGCACTAAACATCCCTACAAAGTAGATAAACGCCTTCTTGGAAAGCATCAAGATCCTGAATGCGTTTGCATTATTTACTACTTACTCAACGGGTTAAACGCCCTAGCTCATTGGTTGAACGCGTTGAGAGCTTCTGGATTCGAATCTCGGTAAAACTAAAATTCGAGCAGGCTCATCAATTACTAGGCTTGAACGGTATCAAAATTGTGTCCGAAGTGTCAATATTGGGTTTCAGACACATACATCGGGTTGTCGTCAAGCCATTCTGATATCGACTCGGTTGAGTGCAATTCAAAGTGCATTGAATTATGCGAAGTATTCTCGGCTTTATTGGCCATTTAAGTAGGGCGAACGATTTATTTCTGTCGCCAGATATTTCCGCTGTTTGCGTCTTGACTCAGAGTGTCATTCGGTTTACTGTCTTTGAGACAATCCAGGGCGAAAATGTTATTTGTTCCTTTTCGCAACGAGGGTTCTTTAGTCTATATATTAAAAGCTTAAAGATCGTCATTGTCTCATAAACTATTAAATTTAGAATTATTATTTATTATCTCGCCCCTGTAGCCAGATAAAGCCTAGCATTGTGTTAAGCGCGAGAGCTTCGAATCCTAGGAAAACAGAAAATCGTTTCGGTCGAGCAGAACAGAAGTCTGATCAACTACTTGCCTGTAAAATAAGCGATCAGTGAAACGGACACATATGTTCACAAATATGTTCGCCCCATGCTCGGATTCCTCGTGACCACGGCTGCTATAAAGCATCCGAAACGTCGGGCCGTAGTTAAAACAATTTTCAACTAAGTTTAACTAATACATATCGGCGTTTTAAATCGTTAAATTTCTACAATCTACCTAGTAACAATTACGTGTGCATCCGAGCATTTAAATGAAAATTGATTTGGTATTAATTACTCCATCTTAATTACTTTAACCATTCAAATGTCATTAGCTTCACTGCACAGCGCCTAGGTCGCATTTACTGCAATCAAAGCTTTTATTGGAGGATCAGTTATTCTATTGACCCTCAGTAGAATTTAAATGGAAGAGTAATTGAGGTTTTCTTTAAATAGACAGCTATATACATAATTTTCAACGAATATGTTTTCAAAGAAATTTAATGTTTAGATTACTTGTTGTAAGTATTGAAGTGTAAATTGAAATGAAACAAACAGCCACTTTCAGAGTTCACTATACACTATTTTAATTATATAATTTAACTAGTTGTCTCAGATGTTCTTCATATTAGTGCTCCGAGCACATAAAAAATCAAAGCAAGTATTTCTTAAACTTCGAGTTATGGTTAGAACACAGTAGAACAAAAAGCGCCTCACCACTGACTGGGGTTTTGAAACTTCGCCAATCAATTTTAGCAAATAAATGTAAATAGTCACTAAATGTACAGTTCTCCAAACTTTTTGGCCGGACTGAAGTTAGCGCGACTGCCATCTTGCGCATGGTACTGTCAACTTTAAGCAAAAATTCGAGTCTCCCCGCACCCGCGCACCCCATTTGTCGCAATTGACACCTGCTTTTTGCATTCTGCGCAACCATCCGCGCTAACTTCTGCCCAGCCAAAAAGTTTCGAGATTACTGTAAAGTGTAACTGTCAATAATTCAGTTCAGGCAAATATGTAACTGATTTTGTGCCTTTCGTGCCTCAATAGTTAACCTTCTCTCCCAAACAACCATAGTGTAAACAAAACGGGGTAATTAAACTAAACCGTTATCAGCAGAAATAAACATCACAGACAAGTGTTTAGCTCGTAAAGCAAACAGAGACGACACAGACCGTTTTGCCTTCACATTTGTTTCGAGTGTCGTGACATTTATTTTGCAGTGTCGTTCAAATTTTATCGCAAGATGGACAAGGTGTTTACGACGTCTCTTATCTGCGTTATGCAATGGCGTCTCGGTTTGAGAAAAGACATTCGTAATTGGAGAGATAGAAAAATAAGCTAAAATTAGTACTTACAATACATTTTTTTTATTTACCGTTTCCCAAAGGAGCTGAAGCGAGTCAGCCGTATGAATATCAAATCCTCCTGTTTAAATACATATATGAATTAAGGGATAAAATACAAAATATTTAAAGTATAATACCGCTGCGCGCAATAAATAAAACAATTACAAAATACTACCTAATATTAAACTTACCCTAATATGTATTATAACTTATTTCACTACTAAATAATTCTTTGCTTTTAGTTAACGTTTTAGAAATGTTTAATATGTGCGCTGTCTAATACTGTCAAAGTGTTTATTACCCATATTTAATTCGACTGACCCATTGATCTTTGATTTCCTAGATAATCTAGAACCAACCATACTCTTCAACTAGAAAGTCCACGTGAATCATGATTATGTTCTCATACCATCTCGACCACAAACTTTGTCCAAATGGTCTTGCAAATAGATATCTACTAATACACGAGGTAGATTTAAAAAATCCATTCTTGGTAGACACATTTTTATGTCTCTTCCACGATCTATAGTATTAAAAACTACCCAGACATTTGTGCCTTGCGAAACAGATAATCCTATTGTCCCGGGATTAGAATCTGCCTAGATTTAGCTAAACTATAATATGTTTCTATCGCATTTGAAACCGTTAAAGTGTTTTATTTAAATGTGTACTACTCGCGTAAACTACAGACAGTATTTAAACTGGCTGTAATTAGATCTGAGCCTCGTACAATAAGGCAGACATACGCGATATATCAGCTGCCCTTATAAGATGAAAAATCGTCGGTGATATAAGCGTCGTGGGCGATATCTGGTCACCGCCCACGGCTTCCGTCGCGGAGGCGTCCGCCACCTGATAGTTAGAACGCAATTCTATGAGGCAATCCTTGCAAAGGTTAACTTGCAAACATTAGAAGTCAGTTAACATAGTGGTCTTAGGATACAATTGTAACATGGGGCTAATCAATGATTTTCCTTAGCTGCAAAACATAAGACATAGAACCTTAATACACAATATTAAGGTTGAAATTACATTGCGTTATAAGTTGAAAAAAAAAAAGACACGGTCGCTCAATTGGTTTGAGCAACAGCACGGAACGCTGTGGATGCCGGTTCGAGTCCTGCCCGAGCCGTACAATTCCTTCAATCTAAAATCGTATGTAAGTAGTATAGGGCTAGTAATGTTCAATGATCATTTTTATTTAATGTACCAGTATACCTTTCCACACAATACCCACTATCTATGGTTACATGACGGATTAAAACACGCAATATTTGAGCTAAATATAAGTGACCGAATATTGAAAGACTTATTCATTTATTTAAAGTATTTTTATAATACGGAACGTTCAGTTCAAGTCCTGTTCGTGTCGGTATTTTTTTTTATCTAAAATAGATTGTATGTACGTAGCTAGCACGAGATTATAATTATGAAGACTAACAATTAGTAATAACAAGAAAAAGGTTGCGAGTGGTTCAATACGCTAAATATATTACTTGTAAACGTCGGATCGAAGAGAAAATAAATTGTCAATAAGTTGACAAATATATTTAGGTTTTTTAACCGTGCAAATCAAACCTACAACCACTTAACATCATTTAATCAGTAGATCATCCCGTCATACAGTTCGCTATTGCTAATGTAATGGAACGAATTGAAATCGCTTGCAATGGTTAAATAAGTATATCTGCCAAGATGGAATGCAAGTCCACGCCCGCATACTTAGTACAGACAGCAAGAAAATTAATGACATTAATTATAAAATTACTATTATTTACTGCAAAACATTCTCCCGATAATAACATTCTTTTACTCATAATACAAGTATAGGAAAATCCAAAAGAAATGTGTAATGGTGGCAATGTATGGCGCAGTCGACTAAAAAACGTTTCGGTTTTTTAGTCGACTGCGCATCTAACTATTATATATAGCAAACATTTATAACGAGCCATCAAACAAGTAAAATTTATTTAAAAGATAATAAAGCTTTTATTTTTATTATTATTTCGGTGCTGTAATGCATCCGAAACGCCGCGTAACTAAACTAATAAAATTTCACGTTTTAACCCGTTAAAAATGTTTTAATTCAATGTAACACTGAATAACACTAGTAATAAGAACACGTACCTACAATTACGTAACTCGATTAGTAAGCTGTTGAATAACATTATATTGTAATTCTTATTCATCTTACAACAATACAATAATATAGCTAAGAATGTGTACAAAAACACAGTTAGTCACTGTTTCATTTAGATAACGCGTTACGCGACCTTTAACCAGCCTCCAACGTTTTATCTAGTTTGTCAATGCAAGTGTGCTTTTATGTATATTATATACTAGTTGTGCTCACGACTTTTTCCGCGGGGATTAGTTATTTTGGGAAATCATTTATTTTTAGCTCTTACCGACGATGTCCTCGGCGTCCCGTCGTTCTTGCGAGTTAATCATTAATGATAGAGCCTTTTGCGAATCTTTTTAGATACTTTAAGAAAATTAATAATTTTCTCTGTTCCTAATGTTTTATAGCCTAAAGCCTTCCTCGATAAGTGGTAAAAGAAACACAAAAATAATTTCTCCATTCGAACTAGTAGTTCCAGAGATAAGCGCGTTCAAACAAACAAACTCTTCAACTTCATATTAAGTATAGTTTCATTTGTATATGCAT